TTAGCGTAGTGTTAGGCACTACGCTATGACACTACGCTACGGTTAGCGTGAAGTTAGCCTAGCGTCATAGCGTCGTGTCGAACTTCATGACCAAGACGTGCTCTCGGGGGGCCCCAGGGCCGTCGTGAGGCATCATGGGAGTGACACGGGGGCGGGGCCGTCTGAGGGCCCCTTTCCTTTGCCTCCTGTGCCCCCTCCTGGGCACCGGACGCCCCACCGTCTCACGCCTCCTCACGCCCAACAAGTAGGGGTTGCCAGCACCTTCGCATCCCAGCGGCGTGTTTTCAATCCGGCGCGACCGCCCACGGCGATGCCGCCCTGCCAGAGTTCAGCACGCCCACTTCGTCCCTCCCCGTTCATCTTGCTCTGGCAGCGTCTTGCTGTCCCCGAGATGCTCGGTGCTGCTAATGGGCTCAAGGCGTATGCCTAGCATAGGAGATTGCAAGGTGCCTGGGTATCGGCTTCTGTTCGGGGGCCACCCCTCTGTCGCCTCCCTCCTCCCTCCTCTCCACAGCTGCACAAAGTGAAATGTCATTTCCCTTGTTCCCCAGAGGGCGCATTTGGGACATCCCGCCCCCCTCCGCGTATTGTTTGCCCACGCACACACACAGGATTTCAACTTCTTGTTTCTGTAATGCTTTTTCGTCAAGCCGATGGTGCTCCCGCTGCAGCGTTGGCCTCACTTTCGGATCGGCTCTTTGCTTCTCTGGTTCATGATGGCGCTCTTTGCCCCAGCCTGGGCCACTTTTACCGGATCCTTTTTTATCGCTGTTGCCCCCCTCATCTCCCGTCCTCCGCCTTCCGCTGGTCGTCCTGCTCCTCCCGCTCCTTCCACTCAAGGTCCTGCTGCTGCTGCTGCTGTTCGTCCTCGTCCTCCTTTCGCATCCTCCTCCCTCTCCTCCTGCTCATTCTCCTGCTCACCCGCCACCTCCTCCTCCTATGCACGCGTCTCCCCTTCTCCGAGTGCGCATCACAGGATGGGATCTTTTTGTTGGAGTTCCAAATTGGCTATGACATGCGTCCGTGGATAGATGCGGATAGAGCAAACATCAGCGCTATGGGAAGGGGTGGAAGGGAGGGATAGGTTTTCACATGTTGCGCGAGCGCATCTAGCTGGCCCTCTCCCCTCTCTCCCCCTCTCCCTGCCCCTGTTCCTCCCCCTCCTTCCCTTTCTCATCCTTCTGCTCCTCCTCTGTCGTCCCCTGCATCCTTCTCACCGCTCTGTCCCCCTATCGCAGCATCTCCCTCCCTCTCCTGCTTCCCCTCCCTCTCCTGCTTCCTTTCCCCGACTCAACTCTGCGTCCACCGCCCTCCATCTCCCTTCCCTGCCGCTCCTCGTCTCGTCGTCCTCCCTTTTCTATCCCCGCGAGGAGGAGTAAGAGCAGGATGAGAAGGAGGACGAGGACGGGGAAAATGATTTTTGATGGGTGGGTGTCGATGCAGCGAGCTTCCCTCGACATTTCCAGTCAGCGCAGCAAGCTCGTTACGTTAGCCGCTAGGTTCTGGCAGGAGTGGGGCCCCGCTTCCATCATTCGGTCCTGTCTTGCTGGTGTTGTGTTGCTCCCCCTCCTTGCTGTCATCCTACCTTCGATCTCATATCTCCTATTCCTTATTCTCGTCGTCGTCGTCGTTGTTGTCGTCAACGTCGTCGTCGTACTACCTCCTCCCCCCCCGACACCCCTTTTCTTTTACCTCCCACCTTGTACCTCATGTTTCCTACCTCCTACCTCATCCTTGCCGTACTCTGCGCCGCCTAATTCCTCCCAGCTCCTGCTCATCACTACTCCTCGCTCTTCCTCACTCCCAGGCGCTTCTTCTTATTTCTCCTCTTCATCCTCACTCCTCCTGATTACTTGTACCTACTCGTCGTCGTCCTCCTCGTCCCCCTCCTTTTCTCCTCTAAACCTTTCCTCCTGCGCGCTGCTCTTTCCTCGTCATTCCTCACTCCTGACCCCTTATTCTTCACTTATCACCTCTGACTCCTCTTCACTCCTCCTTCTCCTCCCCTCCTCACTCTTCCTTCTCACTCCTCCTCCTCCTCCTCCTCCTCCTCCTCCTCCTCCTCCTCCTCCTCCTCCTCCTCCTCCTCCTCCTCCTCCTCTCTCTCTCTCTCTCTCGCCTTCTTCATTCAACCATCCGCCTCCGTGTGATTGCCTCCTGCCTCCTACCTCCCTGTCCTCCTCTACCTCCTCCATCCCACATTCGACTTCTTGCCTCTCATGTCCCGCCTCCTTCCTTCGGCCTCCTGTTTGCCGCCTCCTTCCTCCCACTTCGCTCGCACCTCCGGCCTCCTCGTCTCTCTCATGGCCCCCGATGCGCCTCCAGTGTTGCCCGCGCTGGCCTCCTGCTTCCTGTCACGCCGGCTGGACCCCCCACGCCGCTCTCGCCCCTCCTCGTCGACCCTCGCGTGGCCTGCCTCCCCGCGGAAGGCAGACCACGCGAAGGTCAGGGGGGAGGAGGAGGAGGGGGATGATGATGATGATGAGGAGGAGGAGGAGAAGGAGGAGGAGGAGGAGCAGGAGGGTGAGGACTAGGAGGATGAGGAGGTCAGAGGGAGAGGAGGAGGAGGAGAAGGAGGAGGAGGAGGAGGAGCAGGAGGAGCAGGAGGAGCAGCAGGAGGAGGAGAAGGAGGAGAAGCAGCAAGAGGAGCAGCAGGAGGAGGAGATCGAGGAGCAGTGTTGACCGTAAAACCCAACCCTCCCTCCAAGTTCCCTCTTCACAGATCCCTTCAAGAATTCGTCTTCATTGCAGGAAGTGGCCCATTGAAAGACAACCGTTTGAAGAATTCAAAGACTTGACGGATTTCCCCCCGCAGACTCCAGTCAAGGACCTCGCCAGGACAAAGACAATCCAACAGCAGTCTTACATTCAATATTTGATCGGATTCGGGTACCCGTCAATGTCCGAAACTATTTGATAATCCTAGGTCGTGCTAGAACATCACTCCTGGGACTTCAACGCCGTGAATCAACGTGACTGTTGCGTCCTGACAATCCCGAGTTGTGCCAGAACACCACTGCTTAGACTTCAATCCTACGAATCTTGAAACTTGTTGTTAGCATTGGGACGAATGTGCGCGGCGCTGAGGGGAGAGCCACCTTCCGAGAATGAATATGCCTCCATCCTTGAAGCTGTTGCCAACATTTACGACGAATGTGCTGGGCGCTGAGGCGAGAGCTCCATTTTTGAAGACGACCCGCCCTCCATCCTTGAAGCTGTTGCGGACTTTCAAGGCGAGTGTGCGCGGTGCTGAGGCGAGAGCTCCATTTTGAAAACGGCCCGCCCTCCGTCCGTGAAACGGCTGCAGATTTCACGCTTCAGGACCACGAGTGGTGACGAGGTCTCGGGTGAAATGCCTGGCCCGACCGACGGACACGTCTGTGGGTGCGGCAGGGAGGAGGTCTGGAGCCCGCACAGCGGGAGTCACAGCGGGCTCCCAGGGGGAAGCTTCCACGCAGAATTTGCAACCAGTGGGTGTAAATTAGGGGTACGCCTCGACGAGGGTCGGTACCAATCGTTGCAATCCCGGAAAGGGCGGGGGGGTCTCTTTTAGAGATTTTACCCCCGGGGGCGACTTGAGACGGGCCGGCGGAACAGCTGGTACGCGTGCCCTGGCTTTTGCACCAAGGACCTGCGAGGGACAGGAGGCTTTCGCCTCCTTCCTCCAGTGGCCGGGGGGGAGGACGAACGACGAACGACGAACGAAAATAAAGAGGTCCAAGCTCTAGAACACAGCTGTGCAAGATAATACAGGGGTCCGAGCTCTAGAACACGGTGGGCAAGGCCAGGGGGGCCAGGGGAGAGGACGAACGAACGGGCAAGGGAGGCCAAGGGTGGGGGGAGAGCGAGGGGGGCTGGGTCCAGGGCAAGGTGGGTCCAGGGCCATGCCAGGGGGCAAGGGAGGCCAGGGGGGTGGCCAGGCAGGCCAGGGGGGGGAGGGCGAGGGGGGCTGGGTCCAGGGCAAAGGCAGGGGGGAGGGCTGGGTCCAGGGCAAGGTCAGGGGGGCCAGGGGGGAGGACGAACGACGAACGAGCGAACGACGACGATGAGCTGAAATAAAATCCGAGCTCTAGAACACAGCTGTGCAATATATTTACGTGCGATAAATGACGGGGTCGAGACGGGCGGGCGAATTAACGTTTGAGGATGTCCCGAGCGAAACGCTTTTTTTGTGTAGTTTGAAATTGCGATCGATACAAGTCAGGGTCAAGTGTGCACTTTCGTTTGTTGCGGATGTCTCGAACGAAACGCTTGTTCTGCATAATTTGTTGACTCACAGCGTAATTTACTTGGAAACATTGCCCTGGGAGCGCTGACATTATGTAATTGACGAGGGGGCGCGGCCCTACGAGCGCGGACGCAGCGTAGTTTTATTTGGGATCGTGGCCCAGGGAGAGCGGATGCAACGTAATTTACGAGGGATCGTGGCCCTGGGAGCGCGGACGCATCGTAATTTACGATGGATCGTGGCTCTGGGAGCGCAGACGCGTCGTAATGGCCCTGGGTCAGGGACGTCCCGCAGCACGTTCCCTGACGCGTTGCCTGGCACGTTCCCTGGCGCGTCGCCTGGCACGTTCCCTGGCACGTTCCGTGGCGCGTCCCGTGGCGAGTCCCCCTTGAACGTCGCGCGGCGCGTCCCCTGGCACGTCCCGTGGCACGTCCATTGGCACGTTCCGTAGCGCGTCTCTTTGGCACGTCCTGCGGTGCGTCCCCGTGGCCCCGCTCCTGCCGCTCCCCTTCCGCTCCCGCTTCCCCGGCTCCTCGCCTCCAGCCCCTCCAGGGTTCCAGGAGACGCCCAGAGCGCAGTCTCGATCCCCGGCCTATCCTCGTTCGCCGTCTTCGTCTTCGTCTTCGTCGCCGTCGCCGTCGCCGTCGCCGTCGTTCGTCGTCGTCATCGTCGTCCGTCGTCGTTGTCGTTTTCGTCCTCTTTCTCGTCCTGCTCCTCCTCCTCCTCTTCTCCTTCGTCTTTTTCTTCTTCTCCTGGCGGCGGGGGCGCCGGCAGGGCTGCGATACACCGCAGTGCTGCATGGACCCCTCGTCACCGGCCGATGGTGCGCCCGCCGCGCACCCTCATGTTCGCTGGGCGGCCGGAGAAGCTCGGGGGGGGGGTGCGGCACGGGGGGCGACCCCGATCCTCGGAGAGCGCCAACCTCACACACTTGCACCGATTTTAGCCAGGCCGATCATGAGCCGGAATCGGCGTAGGTGTATATAGTTGGCGTGCCCCCAGATCAAGGAGGAGGGTGTGCTTCAGGGGCAACGCCAGTGGGGGACAGTCGGGCCGCACGAAAGGGGAGGATTGGGAAAGGGGGGGTTACGAAATTTGCTGCTTGCAGCTGGTTTCGGACCCGCCGAGGGGCCCACTCCTCGATACATAGTCGCCCTCCGGCGCGCCGGGAGGCGCCAGAAAAATTAGCCACGTGAGCCGATTCTCAACCCCACCCTTTGCTATCCCCCCCTTTCGCCCGACCCGAGACAGGCTCCGGGGGTTGGGCGCCGCGTAATGGGGGGGTCATAAATGGGGAGGTGGCGAGGGGAGATAAGGTGTTACTGCGGCCCGTTGGTTGTTACTGCGGCCCGGTGGGTGTTAGTATGGCCAGGGGTCCTCCGGAGTGTATTAATTATCGAGTACGGTGAAAGGGGGGGGGAGGCCAAAAAGGCTCCGCCCCCCCCACCTTTCTCCTGAGAGCCTCTCGGAAGAGCCTCTGGTGCTCTTCGAAGAGCTTCTTGGAGCCGCCGAAGACCTCCTTGCAGCCGCCTAAGAGCCTCTTGGGCTCTCCGAAGATCCTCTGAGGCTCTCAGAACTACTACTACTACTACTACTACTACTACTACTACTACTACTACTACTATTACTACTACTACTACTACTACTTCTATTACCACTACTACTATTACTACTACTACTACTATTACTACTACTACTACTACTCCTACTACTACGACTACGACTACTACTACGACGACTATCTATTACGATTACCACTACTACTACTGCTACTACCACTACCACTACTACTACTACTACTACTACTACTACTGCTGCTGCTGCTGCTGCTGCTGCTCCTACCACTACTACTACTGCTACCTACTACTACTACTACTACTACTACTACTACTACTACTACTACTACTACTACTACGACTACGACTACGACTACCACTACTACTACTACTACTACTACTACTACTACTACGACTACTAGTACTCGTACTACTACTACTACTACTACTACTGCTGCTGCTACTACTACTACTACTGCTACCTACTACTACTACTACGACTACGACTACCACTACTACTATTACTACTACTACTACTACTACTACTACTACTACTACTACTACTACTACGACTACTAGTACTCGTACTCGTACTACTACTACTACTACTTTTACTACTTTTACTACTACTACTACTACGACTACTACGACTACGACTACGACTACGACTACTACTACTACTACTCATACTACTACTCCTACTACTACGACTACTACGACTACTACTACTACTACGACTACGGCTACGACTGCGACTACGACTACGGTTACGATTACTACTACTACTTCTACTACTACTACGACTACTATTACTACTACTACTACTACTACTACTACTACTACGACTACTGCTACTACTACTACTACTACTAATGTTCGTCTTATACGACTACTACTACTACTACTGCTACTACTACTACTACTATCACTACTACTACGGCTGCTACTACTACTTCTACTACTAATAATAATAATGATACTACTACTACTACTACTACTACTACTACTATGAGTACTACTTCTACTACTTCTACTACCACGACTACTACGACTATTATTGCTACTGCTACTACTACTACTACTAGAAATACGATTGCCACGACGACCCCGACTTCTACGACTACTACCACCACTACCACTGCTACTACTACGACGGCTATTGCTACTACTACTACTGCTACTACTACTACTACTACTATTACTACGACTACTACTACTATTACTACTACTACTATTACTACTACTACGACTACTACTACTACGACTACTACTACTACTACTACTACTACTACGACGACGACGACGACTACTACTACGACTACTACTACAATTGCTACTACTACGACTACTACTACTACGACTACTACTACTACTACTACTACTACTACTATTTCTACGACTACTACGACGACTATCTACTACGACTACGACTACTACTACTACTACTACTACTACTACTACTACTACTACTACTACTACTACTACTACCATTACTACTACTACTACTGCTACTACTACTACTACTACTACTACTACTACTACTACTACTACTACGATGTCTTTTTATACGACTATTACTACTACTACTACTGCTGCTACTACTACTACTACTTCTACTACTACTACCACTACTATTACTACTATAACTACTACTACTACTTCTACTACTACTTCTTCTTCTACTACTACTACTACGACTACGACTACTACTACTACTACTACTACTACTACTACTACTACTACTACTACTTCTCGTCGTCCCTAGCGCCCTAGGGCTAGCACTCCCCAGCGCCAGTACTTCCTAGGGCTAGCACTCCCTAGCGCCAGTACTTCTTTGCACCCCCTCGGACTAGCACTCCCTAGGACTAGTATTCCCTAGGGCTGGTACTCCGTCGTGCGAGTACTCCCTAGGACGAGTACTCCCTTGGACGAGTACGCCCTAGGGGTAGTAATTCCTAGGACTGGTACTCCCTGGGGCTAGCACTCCCTGCGGCTAGTACTCCGTAGGACTAGTACTCCCTATAACTGATGTTACCTAACACCAACACTACAGCACCATAGTACTACCACACTACAACAGCACTACCACAATACCAGCACCACAACACCACAACACTGCTACCACAGCACCACAACACCGCTACCACAATACCACAACCACAACACCACAACATCGCTACCACAAGACCACTACCACAGCACCACTGCCACTACGACAACACTACTACCTACTAGCAACTCAACAACACTACCAACACCACACCGCTAACACATCACTACCAACACCACACCACTAACACAGCACACCACTACCAACACCACACCACTAACACAGCATACAGCACAACCCGCCACTACCAACACCACACCACTAACACAACACTACCAACACCACACCACTAACACAGCACAGCGACCACCACACCACTAACACAGCACTACTACCACGTTGGTTCCAGATGGGAGTTACTGTGGCCACTTTTGCCTGCGCGGGAGTGCATTCCCTTAAGGGTTGCGAATCTCTCCAGATCTAACATGAGATACCTTTACATATTACTTTTCATTGAGCGGCCTGCGCGGGCCACTGTAACTCCCATCCCGCCGCGCGACGGGCCACACTAACACCCAACGGGCCGCAGTAACAACCGGTCGCGTGGCGAGGGTGGTTCGAAAAGGTACCCAAACGGTACCCAAGCGAGCCCCCTGGGGCTCTGGAGGGGCCCGAAGGGGGCACGAAAGGGGACCTTTTCTGACCCCCCCCATGTGTGACCCCCCCATTAAGCCACGCCCAAGGGGGGGACGCATCGCCCCCCGAGTCGCTTCATCGCCGACCGGGGCGCGATGGCCGCGCCCAGCCCAGAGGAGCATGCGGACCCGCCGTCGGGGACCTGTCGCCGACCTCCTCGGCGCTGCAGCGCCGCCGACTCCGGGCCGACGCCTTCCCCCCCCCCGGGAGCCGGCCGGTCCTCCGCAGCTCCGCTCCTCGCTGCTGGAGGCAGAGGGGCTCACGCCAGCGGGGATGACACGGGTAGGGGGCCGCCTGCGGGCCCTGCCCCTACCCCCCACGATTTCTGAGCGGGAGGGTGGGGTTCACTTCCCTCGGGAGCTCCCGAACGGAGTGAACCCCACCCTCCCCCTCGGAAATCGTGGGGGGTAGGGGTAGGGTTCGCAGGGGGCCCCCCAACGGGGTCCCAGAGGCACTGAGGGAGGGGGTTCAGGAGGGGAAAAACACACAGACACAACTAATCGTCGGTTCCCAGGAAATATGGGAAAATATGGGAAGTGGGGGGGAAGACAAAAACCCAGAAAATATGGAAACATATGGGGAATCTTTTCATTTGTGTGTATTCATTTGTGTGTCCCAGGGCCCCTGTAGGGGTGCTGGAGGCGTCGCACGGCCCCCTCGCCCCCGAAGCAGCAGGGGCGTCCGTGGCTCTGTCGGCTCGGCCGCGTCGCAGTCGGTGGCGCTCGGTCGGCTCGGACCGGTCGGCTGCCGTGGGGCTGCCGCGCCGCTGCGCGCCCTTCCAGGCTGCGTGCGGCCTCTCGGTTTCGGTCTGTCTCGGCCTCGCTGTCGGCTCGGTCGGTCTTCGGTCGTGCTGTCGCCGTGAGCGCCCAAGAGGAGGCGCTAGGATCGCGTTGGCAGCTCGTGTGCGAGATTGTGGAGACTGGATCTGGGGCAGCGCAGCGCCGAGCCGCTGGTGGCACTACTGCGCGCCGGCTTGTGTTGACCGTGCTCGAGTGACATCATGACATGGAGAACGCGGTACGACCAGACGACGAGCTGGGGAGAAATGTTTAGCACGTTGGACTGTGTGATGATGGACGTTACGAACAACATCAACAGGAGGTTCAGCTGGCGCGAGGGTGAAACACAACAGTGGTTTTGGATGGGTACCTTAGGTTTTTCGTGTTCGGGTTCTCCACCTCGGATCGCCCGTCGTTTTGGGTATCCGCATGGGCAGTGAGCCTTCTTCGAATAGGCTATATTCTTAACCCGCGTTCTTGTGCCCGCGTTTCGAATGCAAGACCGCCAAGCGTGCAACACCCGTGCAAACGACCCGCGGGTAGTCGGAATCATCGAGTCGAAGCTTCTGTGTGGATCGCCGTGGCGGGCCCGAGCCCCACATAAAAAGAGAGAGAGGAAGAGAGGGCGAGGAGCGAGGGAGCCAGGAGGGCCTGCTGGCTGGGGTGGCCGATTTGGCGGCGTTCGCATCCCTGGGCACGGATGCTTCTAGTGGGCCTGACCAGGCAGGAGTGAGCCTCCCACGACGGAGCATCCCCACACCGACCACTGCGCCTCCAGGCGGGCAGGTCCATGGCCACCTCTGTTGCCTGGAAAGCCGGCGATGGGAGGGACAGCGACCCTCAGGGGTGGGATGGGCCGGCAGAGAGTCCGCGTCTCAACTGGCGGGGGCTTCGCGCTGTCCCCCAGTCCCCGCAGTCAGAACAGCGTGCGTGAAACACCGCTGCAGACAGGCAGAGAGTGAAGGGGAACGAAGGCCCCTCCTGGGAAGCTGAGGGAGCCCCCAGCCCAGCCCAACCTGGCCGACATAGCATCCCATTGCCGCAGCGTCCCTGCTGGAGCAAGAAAACAGCGGAGGGAGCTAGCCGCCGGAGTGAGTGAGGGAGGGGAGACGTCGTCGCAGCCCTCGTCCAGGACACCCCCTGCCGCGTCTCGTCGAGAGGCGATCGCAAAGGGTTGGAGGAGGAGGAGGAGGATGAGGAGGAGGAGGAAATCCCAGCCCACTCCGCCCCATCCCGACGCTCGCAGCTCCCATGCAGAGGCCCGTCTTCAGGGGGGAGGAGGAGGAGGAGGAGGAGGAGGAGGAGGAGGAGGAGGAGGAGGAGGAGAAGGAGGAGGAGGAGGAGAAGGAGGACCAGTGTTAACCCAAGAGCCACCAATGATGTTGGAATCAATCCTTCCAAGCTCCCTCTACGTTTGCCCCTGCAACGGTTCATCTCCACAAAGGAACCTCCCTCGTTTGAAAACAACCGTTTGAAGACCCTGAATCATGCCAAAACATTGTTTTCGGTATTCCAACGCCACGGATCAACCTGATTGTGTGTCTTGACGATCCGGAATCGTGCCAGAACGCCATTCGTGGGATTTCAACGCTGCGAGTCAGCAAAACTGTTGCACCCCATAGCCCTGAATTTTTCCCAAACACATTTTTTTGATACGCTCATCATGGGGATCCGTGAAACACTTGCACATTTTTAGGACGAATGTACGTGGCGCGAAGGCGAGAGCCACATTTTGAAAAGGAACCGCCAGCAATCCGGGAAGCTCTTGTATTTTCAAGACGAATGTGTGCTGCGCTGAGACGAGAGCCACATTTTGAAAATGAACCGCCTTAAATCCGTGAAGCCCTTGCAAATCTAAAGAACGAATGTGCGCGGCGCTAAGGCGCGAACCGCATTTCGAAAACGACCCGCCCTCAATCCGTGAAGCTTGTGCGCAATTGTAAGGCGAATGTTCGCGGCGCTAAGGCGAGAGCCACATTTTGAAAACGACCCGCCCTCCATCAGTGAAACAGTCGCTGATTTTAAGCTTCAGGGTCATAAATGATAAGGAAGTCTCAGGCGAATCGCCTGGCCCGCCCTAAAAACTGGCTTCGGGGTGTGACAGGGCAGAGTTAGTTATAAGAAAAAGGACTGGAGGAGGAGGATGAGGAGGAGGAAGAGGAGGAGGAGGAGGAGGAAGAGGAGGATGAGGAGGAGGAGGAGGACGAGGAGGAGGAGGAGGAGGAGGAGGAACGCGAACCGCCCCATCCCCTCACAGCACGGGTGCCGTCAACCCCTCGGCAAGGTGCCGTGGTCGCCTTCGAGGAGCCACGATGATCAGCCAGGCCAGTCCGCGCGACGCTCGCCGCGCATGGGGCCCCAGACATGGTCGCGTCTCAGGGGGGGGGCGGTGGCGACAGGCTCAGTGGGGGTGCATCGACCCCTAATCGCTTATGGATCGCCGATAAGGGGCCTGGCAGCCCGCCCCGCCATGGAGCACGCCGATGCGCTATCGGGGGCCTATATCACCGATCTATGGGCGACGTATCGACGATTCCAGGAACATTCCCCCCCGAGCCACTCCCCCCCGAACGTTCCATCCTCAGCGTCGTGAGAAAGTAGCGACGGGAGGTTTTGGCCGTTTTCGGCCTCTGGGGGCCCTGAACCGGCCCTGGGACTGTCCATCCACGGCTCGCGATGAAGAGCTGGCCGTGGGGAAGGTGCCGGGAGTTCTGGGAACGGCGCCTTGGCAAAACGAAGGCGTCGGATGCTAAGGGTAAAACGACGCGAAGATCGGGACAAAATCGGATCGGGATAACTCGACATCTCTGAGAATCGGCGGGTTGGAGGATGTATTGGGCGCCGCGGCCGCTCCAGAGCGTTCCGGAACGCTCTGAGAGCGCTCCGGAACGCTCTGGAGCGATTTATCCCGATCCTAGCCCTGTTTTAAAGGGCCAGGTCGAGGCAACTGTGGCCCTCCCTGGCGTCCGGCGTCGGTTCTCCGCGGATTCGTCCTGCCCCCGGAGGCGTTCCAGCAGCTGCGCGCCCTTTTGAGAGCGTTCTCATGCAGGGGGCCAGGACGGCCCTGGCTAGACACGTGGTGGTGTATTTCGAGTAGGTGATCGACTACAGAATTGAATTGAATGACCCCAGAATTGAGACAGCAGTGGTCGCAAAGTGTGTTTGCGATGGCACACGTGTATATTTAGCAGTCCTTCCTTCTGCCCCCCTTTCCGTTCCCCTCCCCCTTCCCCCTTTCTGCCTCTTCTCCTCCCGTGACCTGCCCCTGTCTGTAGTCAGCCGCCTTTCTCTATTTTCACGTCTGGTTGCCATACGTGCAATCTTGCCCACGCGTTTGCAGGACGCAAGGCTTCAGTCAGTCAGTCAGAACTGATTTTCCCCATCGAATCTACGACGAAAGCCTACAGGGTTCGTCAATCTACGGAGAAAGTTGAATGTTGAATATATTTTTCCGGAGGCTCGAAGCGAAAACTGATTTTGGGATACATCAGTTCGGTAGTCGATTCCGCTCGAGTCTCGATGCCCTCTGCGCAGGCCTCAGCTCCGAAAGACGGGTCCGAACGAACCCCAGCGGGGGCCCGGGGACAGATCTTGGAGCGGCCGGGAGGCGGGCCGCGCCGGGCCGGGCTCCCAAGGAGCCCGTCGCGAAACGGCAGCGACGGACACGGATATACGGGACGGGAAAACTACCACAGCCACTGCTTTTCTTCTGTTGCCGCCTTCCAGCCAGCACAAACAAAGCAGTGGTTGTGTTAGGCTTGGCACCAGGGAAATGACCACAGCCACTGCTTCTTTTTCGGCCGGCTGGAAGGCAGCGCAGACAAGAAGCAGTGGCTGTGGTCATTTTCCCGTCCTGCAGGGTACTGATGGGCTCTTTGGGGGGCCCGCGCCCAGCCCCGGGGGCCCTTGCCCGAACGACTCGGGCAGAGGGGTGGCTGTGTTGCGTGCCACGCCGCCGTGCAGACGCGCTGCCACCGTCCCCGTCGCGTGCCGCGCTGCCGTGCAGACCGTCGGTGCGCCGCAGCCGCTGTCCCGAGAGTGCCGCGTGCCCCACGTCCCGAAGCGACGCAGGGTGAGACTGCCGCCCCCCCGCCAGGGATAGCGTCGGGGTCACTCTGGGTCTCGGCGGTGCGGCGGCACCACGGCAGCTGGGGCCCGGGGGCCTCCCGCGCCTCCTGCTGGCGCGACGGGGCCACCAGGCCCGCCACGGGGTCCCGGCCCCTGGCGGGGCCGACTTCGGTTCGGTCGATCCGCTTCGAGGTCGATGTCCTGGCGACTCGACGCGACCCGATGCCCGCACAGCGCGGATGCGCAGCGGGGCGCGGCCGGCTCGGCTCGTGATGCCGATGCCGTGCCGAGGCGGCCCGATCCGGAGATCGCCCCGATCCGATCCTGTTTCGCGACTCGATCAGTTCTCCTCCTCCTCCTCCTCCTCCTCCTCCTCCTCCTCCTCCTCTTTCTCCACCTCGATGCATCGTCCAGCGTCTGGCCTGTGCCAGCCGCCGACTCGGCACGGGGAGACCACGGCCGCTGTTCGCTTATCGGCGGTTCTCGGCGGGTGCTCGTCTCTTCTCGGCGGTCTTTCTTACGGCCTCGGGGTGCTTTCCAGCGGCTGCGCCTCGCCGGGAGCGTTCTGGGAGTGTCCAGATCTTCCCGAGCTGCCGTCAGAGATCCGAGCTGTGACCCGAGAGCGAGGGGGCAGCGTTAGGGGGGCACAGGCTCGGGTGAAGTCGGGCCTGTCCCTCTACAGGGGGAATACTCAAACATAGTAAAAAAAGTAGTCGGGGGACTATTTTTTGAGTATTTCTGTAACATTTTTTTGGGGCATTTTTTTTTTTTTTTTTTTTTTTGACTTTTTAGATATTTCTCGTCGACAACCCCCCTGTAGGGGGACACGCCCGACTTGGGCTCGGGGGGGCGCATTGCCCCCCCCCCATTGCCCCTGGATCGCCGAGGGGGCCTGACAGCCCACGCCGCCCCGGGGAGCGTGCGGCTCTGCGGTCGAGGGCCCATCGCCCATCGCCGATCTAGCGCGGCGACGTGTCACCCGGTTCCAGCGCGTGCGTTTTTTTTTTTTTTTTTTTTTTTTTTTTTTTTTTTTTTTTTTTTTTTTTTTTTTTTTTTTGTTTTTTCTGTTTTTTGTTGTTGTTGGAATTCTTATTATTATTATCATTATTATTATTACTATTATTATTATTCTTATTATTAGTATTATCAGTATTATTCTTATTTTCTCTTTTTTCTTCTCCCTAATATAGATCAAGTCCTCCTTCTCTGGCTCCCCTCCTGTGCCTATCCCCCGTTGCGGCGACGTATCACCGGTTCCGGCGCGCGCGTTTTTTTTGTCATCATTTTTTATGGAGTCCTCCTTCTCTGGCTACCCTCCTGTCCCTATCCCCCCGTTCCTCGCTATACCTGCAATGTATTGTGTTTTTGGCGTGGCTCGTTCGCGTCCACATCTGGCCACCTCCTTTGGGGCATCGCACTGGAAGCAAAAGGAGGATGACGACAGGAGAAGGAGGAAGGATGATAATGAAGGAGAACGCACAGGAATAATGGGAGGAGGAGGAGGGCCTGGCGGGGAACTCGGGGCCAAGAGGCAATGGAAGTGGGGATGCCGACTGTAAGCAATGTCGGTGCCTTCTCCAAGCAGGACGACTGCTGCTGCTGCTGCTGCTGTTGTTGTTGTTGTTGTTGTTGTTGCTGTTGTTGGTGCTGCTGCTGTTGTTGTTGTTGTTGTTGTTGTTCTTGTTGTTGCCGTCGTTGTTGTTGTTGTCGTCGTCGTTGTTGTCGTTGTTGTTGTGGCTGTTGTTGTTGTTGTTGTTGTTGCTCTTGTTGTTGTTGTTGTTGCTGTTGCTGTTGTACCTGTTCTTGTTATTCGCACCAATAGCGGACTGTTATTCCGTGTTTATGGAGTAATCGTCGCCTACTATTCCGTGTAACGGATACACGAAGTAATAGCGGTGTATTATTCCGTTTATACGGAATAATAAGCGCCAAGTATTCCGTTCATCTGATATACAGAGGGATCGCGGCCTATTATTCCGTAGATACGCGGTAATAAGAGCGTAATAGCCCGTGTATCGGATACACTAAGTAATAAGGGGCATCGTATTCCGAGTATACGGAGTAAAAGACGCTTACTAATCCGTGTATCGGATACACGGAATATTCGCGGCCCTTCAATTACTCCGAGTATACGGAGTAAGAAGCGCGGAATATTCAGTGTATCGGATACACGGAGTAATGAGGAGCGTATTATTCCGTGTATATGGAGTAATTTGCGTTTACTCTTCCGTGTATGGGGTACGCGGAGTAACAGCGGCCTATTATTCCGTGTATGCGGAGTAATAGTCGCTTACTATTCCGCATATCGGATAGACTGAACATTACGGCCTTTTTTTTCTCTCCGTGTACACGGAGTAATTGGCGACGCATGTTCTTTGTATCGGATACGCGGAGTGACAGGGGCGTATTATTCCGTGTCTACGGAGTAATCGACGCTTACTGTTCCGTGTGTCGGATACACGGAGTAATGGCGGCCTATTATTACGTGTATCCGGAGCAATAAGCGCGGAGTGTTCAGGTTCGTGGATACACGGAGTAATAACGGCTTATTTTTCCGTGTATACGGAGTAGGAAGCGTTTGCCATTCCGTGTATCGGATACACGGAGTAATATCAGTCTATCACTCCGTGTATACAGAGTATTCGGCGCGGAATATTCCGTGTATCGGATGCACGGAGTAATGGTCGCTTATTATTCCGTGTATACGGATGCATGCGCGCTTGCTTGTCCGTGTATCGGATACACGGGTTGATAGTGGTTTATTAGTCCGTGCGTACGGGGTGTTAAGCGCTTAAGATTCAGTGTGTCGTATACACGGAGTAATAGGAGCCTCATTATTCCGTGTATACGTAGAACTATGTGTTTAGTATTCCGTTTATCGTATACGCTGAGTACTAGGGCCTTGTTACTCCGACGGCAACGTCCTCAGAGGGCGCGTCTTGGAGAAGGCCAGGGAGAAGAGCCAGCGGTGCGGCCAAGGGAAGAAGCCCGAATCGCTTGGGAAGGGGCGGGCGGGGGACCCGGGGCGCGCGAACACTTCTCTTTCATCCCGCCCCCGCGCCCCCCCCCTCGCCCCCCCGCCCCGCCCCCCGGTTCCGCCGATGCGCGGGCAGCGAGCGCGTTGGGGGCGCTGGAGATAGGCGCAGCGACGGGCTTGACCACGAGGGGCAGACGAGCGGACGTAAGCATGGCCCAGCCCGGCCCTGCGCGGGGACGCGGCCGGACCAATGCGACGTTTTTTTTTTTGCGGCTTCCG